CAATGTGTTCATGCACTTGAATATCAATAGTACTTGTATTGGAGATACCATAAAAGATCATATTCCTATGAGTTAGTAAAGTTGAAAGGTAAACACACATGCACCAATACAAACATTATAAAAAAAATCACCCTCAACTTGATTCAAAATTTATTGAATCAATGGTTTCAACTCTTATTCAAAATAACATTACTTGAGAAAAAAACCAAATTACATTATAAGTTTAAAATTTCTTACTATAAGGCATAAGCTGCAAAACAAAAGATATTTGAGGAATTTGATACATGTGAAGACTCATTTGAAATGTTACCTAAATCATTTTTGGCATTACAAAAATCAAATCTTGAGAATGTTGTTGAGTGGAAATATAATTGACAACTTGATAATGAAACAATTATTTCTAGCAGAGTTTTTTGGAGATTTGGTCCTACAATTGAGGGGTTTAACTCTTATAAGCTAATTATTAGTGTGGATGGCATCCATATATTTACAAGGTTTAGTGAAAGTTATTACTTCTAGTTAATTTTGATGCAAATATAATAGGACTTTACCTCTATGGTTTATGTAGTATTTGAAGAAGAAAATAATGTCAATTAGAGATGGTTCTTATAACTTTTTCAACATCACATTATAATTGATTGTAATGATATTTATATAATATCAGATAAGCAAACTGATATTAAAAATAAAATGATAAAAATCTAGCCTAATTCAATTAGATATCATCAATATTTATTTAAACATCTAGCAAGTAACTTTAATCTTAAATCCAAAGATTTTTCAAATAAAAAAAAAGTTACATAAAATGCAGCTATAAAGATTAAAAGCATAAATTTGATATATGGTTTGATGAATAGGGGCAATAGTCACCTAGAATGAAAAACAAAATGGCTTGAGTATGAATAGAGAGAAAGATGGGTTTTTCTTATGATGGGGGCCACCGATATGGCAATGTGACAACATATTTTTTTGAATCTTTTAATCATGTTTTGAAAAAAGCATATGTTTTGCATGTTTTCATTTTAGTCCAACTGATATTTTATAGGACTAATGTGTATTTTGTTACATGTTTTTATTGATATTATTAAAGTCTAAGTAATAGCAATTAGGGTTTGTGTTGAATTATGTGATAAATTATTTTTTATTAAATAGGTATTCTTATTTTACAGAATATATCTTCCAACTTCTTTATGTTATGTCATTATAGTGGTACTGTTATTCATAATATGAATAATAGTATCACTTACATTGATGAAAATTCTATGTTCTTGAATACTCATAAAGACATGTCATTAGAAAATACCAAAAAAGTTATACGTGGAAGACTTGTGTTGAATTATAATAATGTTGAAAGAAGAATATGACTTAGAGGTTTCTTATTAAGAAACATCAGTATTATCCTGTATCGATTGCATGTGATGTGAATTTTAGAAATATGATGGAATCATTCATCTAAAGTGGATCGAACATGATAAAGTTGTATGTGAGTATTTGACTTAAACATAAAAGTTTATATAATATCATGGAAATATTATTGTATCTAAACCCATATATGCTCAGCCACTTAGATAATCATCATATTTTACTACTGCTAGTATGTCTAAGTTATTGGAAGATATAATTATAGGAATTTGAGATGAAAATAAGATCAAAATTATAAATTGTAATCATCGTACGTATGACTCATCTGAACCTAGTGATAATAAACATAAGGGTGTCATGAATTTATTTGTAACATCAAATAATGGTGATAAGATAACAAAGCCTCATGTTTCATAATATGGCTTTGATACTTGAGTAGATGACATAATTTGTTATGATTGGTCTATTTACTATATAAATTTAATTCGTAATGTTGATTTGGTATTTGGACAAACTTTCAGCACTAAAGATTATTTAGTAAATATGGTTAAGCAATGACACATTGTATATTCATTTAAATATCAAGTTCAACATTCAAACAAAATATATGTTCACATTGTAATAACAATGTGTTCATGCACTAGAATATCAATAGTACTTGTATTGGAGATACCATAAAAGATCATATTCCTATGAGTTAGTAAAGTTGAAAGGTAAACACACATGCACCAATACAAACATTATAAAAAAAATCACCCTCAACTTGATTCAAAATTTATTGAATCAATGGTTTCAACTCTTATTCAAAATAACATTACTTGAGAAAAAAACCAAATTACATTATAAGTTTAAAATTTCTTACTATAAGGCATAAGCTGCAAAACAAAAGATATTTGAGGAATTTGATACACGTAAAGACTCATTTGAAATGTTACCTAAATCATTTTTGGCATTACAAAAATCAAATCTTGAGAATGTTGTTGAGTGGAAATATAATTGACAACTTGATAATGAAACAATTATTTCTAGCAAAGTTTTTTGGAGATTTGGTCCTACAATTGAGGGGTTTAACTCTTATAAGCTAATTATTAGTGTGGATGGCATCCATATATTTACAAGGTTTAGTGAAAGTTATTACTTCTAGTTAATTTTAATGCAAATATAATAGGACTTTACCTATGGTTTATGCAGTAGTTGAAGAAGAAAATAATGTCAATTGGAGATGGTTCTTATAACTTCTTCAACATCACATTATAATTGACTATAATGATATTTATATAATATTAGACAAGCAAACTGATATTAAAAATAAAATGATAAAAATCTAGCCTAATTCAATTAGATATCATCAATATTTATTTAAACATCTAGCAAGTAACTTTAATCTTAAATCCAAATATTTTTCAAATAAATAAAAAAGTTACATAAAATGCAGCTATAAAGATTAAAAGCATAAATTTGATATATGGTTTGATGAATAGGGGCAATAGTCACCTAGAATGAAAAACAAAATGGCTTGAGTATGAATAGAGAGAAAGATGGGTTTTTCTTATGATGGGGGCCACCGATATGGCAATGTGACAACATATTTTTTTGAATCTTTTAATCATGTTTTGAAAAAAGCATATGTTTTGCATGTTTTCATTTTAGTCCAATTGATATTTTATAGGACTAATGTGTATTTTGTTACATACACAGAAAAATGCATATAGCTACATTGCATGTGGGATCATAAAAGCTTTATATTGTTCAACTAGAATTGAATATCTACGTACTTAAATCTAAAGATCAAGATCATGTTGCAGTATCTTTTAATATTGTTGGTGGCACTTTTCAAGTTCACATTTTTTGCAAACCAAGTGTCAAAAAAATGTTTGATAAATAGTTAAGTTGGCAAACAGAACACACACATGTGGTAAATTGCAAAGATTTCATCAATCTTGTTCATATTTTATTGTATGTTGTGTAGAAAAACATCTTAATATTACTCAGTATGTTGACCAATATTATAGTGTTCAGATATACAAAAACACAAATGAGATTTCATTACATCCTTTATCCCATAAATTATATTGAAATAAATATACTGATCCTCAAGTATACCCAAACCTTTCCAGGTAAAAAACCAATCGGGAATGATAAAAGTCAACTCAATTGCATAATATGATGAATGCAGAAGAGCCGCATTAATTCTAAATATAGATTTGTCATGTGCGATCATATACGGTATTAAAAAAAAAAAGACCTTGTGAATATAAACAAAGTATGTAACAAGTTACTAAATTATATTGTTTTAAAATTATATTGTTATCACAGCATGCAGTTAAATATTTGTCTTCAAGTTCACATTTTTTGCAAACCAAGTATCAAAAAAAAAATGTTTGATAAATAGTTAAGTTGGCAAACAGAACACACACATGTAGTAAATTGCAAAGATTTCATCAATCTTGTTCATATTTCATTGTATGTTGTGTAGAAAAACATCTTAATATTACTCAGTATGTTGACCAATATTATAGTGTTCAGATATACAAAAACACAAATGAGATTTCATTACATCCTTTATCCCATAAATTATATTGAAATAAATATACTGATCCTCAAGTATACCCAAACCTTTCCAGGTAAAAAACCAATCGGGAATGATAAAAGTCAACTCAATTGCATAATATGATGAATGCAGAAGAGCCGCATTAATTCTAAATATAGATTTGTCATGTGCGATCATATATGGTATTAAAAAAAAAAAAAGACCTTGTGAATATAAACAAAGTATGTAACATGCAGTTAAATATTTGTCGGAAAAAAATGGAGTGATAATAATAAGTCACATATGGAACGGTTGTAGCCAAGCCACTGTGCATGCTATAAAGAAGGCAGCAACATAGACTGGACGGTAAAGAAGTCCCGTGTGATTTGATATACCCAATCAGACACTTTGATCCTTCAGTAGTAAACTGAAAGGACGTCGCCATGTAGGACAGTTGCATCGTTTTCTTATAGCACTGAACAAAAACTGAAACTGCAAATTCCAATATACTACAAGATATATTGCAAATGATCAACTGCAAATTCTAAGTTTATGTGTACTATAACCTTACACATGTTTTTGTGCCTTAGTTAGGTAGCAAGTTTTTCCCTTAAATTCAACACAAGGAACGTTTTCGTTGTTTTCTGTCAAGAGGATAAGGGCACTGGGGGTCTCCAGTTAAGAATTGAAGCTTACCAAAATGAGAATCTGAAATGATAACTCTCCATGACTTGCAAGCGTACCTGCATTCTATGAGAGTTGTAATTGGGAGTTTGCACAAGATTCTTTCGAGTATTTCATCAGAGAGTTCTGATATGTGACAATGCCATGAGTTTCGTTTCAAAGACTTTTCTTGTTCTGTTGCTTGGCTGGAGCCGCCGAAGAGATCAAGAAACAGAAAGAAAAGGAGAATTGGTTGGACAATCGATTGGGGCGGAGGCAGTCACAGCCTTGCTCACGTTGTTTTAAAGGGTTTCAGTTGATGTCATTGGTCATGTCTAAAGCTAAAATAAGAGTAAATGTAGATAATGAACACACAGTAATTGTTTGTTCTTAGATTTTCACGAACAATTGCACATATAGAAGACAAAAATTGATCAACAATACATTCTCGAACACCAACAGATTAAGAATAGAATGATTCTTCAAAAGACAAAAAGAATTAACTAAAATCTAATTAATTAATGTCAATTTAGAGTTAATCGTCTGCTATTCCACTTGACTTCTACAAAGTGGGCAGGATTTGGAGTTTAGCACCCAACGAAAGATGCATTTTTCGTGAAAGACATGAGAGCAAGGTAACTTTGATAGCTTCACCGAACTTGAAAAATCCTCCAAGCAAACCACACAAGTACCACCGGAAGAAGAATCATCGTTGCTCTGCCCCTGCTTCGTGTAAAACCTCTCCTTCTCCAACTTCTTTAACACTCCCTTCGATGCACCCGTTGATACGGTTACATGTCGATCTGTGTCAAATATTGGCTCCACGACATGAACAGTTTCCTCCACGACCTTGACATGAGCCAACACGAAGAATCCAAAACAACCGGCCCTCACAAGATTGTCAGAAAAGGCAGCAATCTTTGAGGCCAAATAGTTGGATAAAGAAGCACTAAAATCGGAGCAAGAAATCATGTGGGCAATGTAAGGAAAGCATGAAGCGGGCTGAGCAACAACTTGACAAGGGATTTGGAAGAAATAACTAGTTGGGTCAGCAGCAGTTGGCCGGTTATCATCCACTCGCATGGCTAGTGATTGTCCTCTGACTCTAACCCGTGTCTCTTTCCTACTTTCCGACAAGATTTGAACAAGAAACATGGGCTCAGTGTTGTTGTCGGGATTAACCAGAGTGGTGCTAACTGCAGTTAGGGTTTCATCAACTCTTGCAAGCGCCATTGAAGAAACGATTGAAAAGGGAGAAACAAGAAGATCGACGTGTAAGTTATGGATGGATAGAGAGAATTCACATGTATTGTTGTGACTTGAATTTATAGATAGAGACCGAAAGATCTGTGTGCTTTAATCCGGAATGGAAGAGGAAACCTAGCCAAAGTATAAGATTCCAATCCTTTTAACACAAGGAAAGGAAACATGGATGAAAGGGAAGTCTTCCATGGCCGTTACGGTTATAATAAGTAAGCAGATTTTATCATGCTTCTTTCAACTGGGCTGGTGATGAGCCTCTCTCGCTAATACTATTATTTTACCAAGTATTTATAACTTTAATATAAATATTTTTTGGGTCAACAATATAATTTTTTATGATTATTCTAATTTTAATAAAATAAAATTAATACCCTGCAATTAGATTATCACAAATGCAAAATATTAAAATGGCTATTATAAATTATAGTTTTGATTTCTTATAAATAAAATAGTTGTAATGTTGATTTATTTTTTGTTAAAAAATTATCTTTATTATAAAAGAAATATTGAGGCACGATTTACACTAGTCATGCCTAGTTCCTTCTCCCAACTGGTTTCCTCAGCTGATTCTCGCACTAGTTTCAAGTCCGGCATGGTCTCCGACATGCATAATCTTGAGAGTGTATTTTTATGTCATGATACTGCCTCAAAAACTGGTTCTTTTGTTATTGATTTTGCAAAGAAACCAGCTAGTGGTTTAGGGTTTTACACGTGGGGCCATGTGGTGACATTTGAAGATTTTGTTGAGGTACTGGATCCCTTGGATGAGATGATCGTGCCGATTTTGATTTTGATGACGACGATTATGTTGTTGATCAAGACGTGCATCAAAGTTAGCGTTGAAGAAGCTGAAGGGAGGGATGCTTTTCATGGAGGAGCTCTCTCTCTCTCTCTCTCTCTCTCTCTCTCTCTCTCTCTCTCTCTCTCTCTCTATATATATATATATATATATATCTTGATGTTCAAATCCTGACATGGTATCATATTTATAAAAAATAATTGGGACCTCCTATCATAGGTTAGGTGAGTTCATCTACAAATTAATAGGTCAAATTTAGCTATAATTTTAAAAATGATAATATTGTTTTAATAAAAAATAATTTAAAATAAAATCTAATTTATATTAGATTCTAGATAAGCAAGGTATTAGATTAATTTATCAAGTTTTATAGAGATTAAAATAATTAATTTGATTTAATGGGTACGAGCATGTTTCTTGAAAATATTTATTTATTGCATGATATTGCCTAAAAAATTGGCTATTTACTTTCTTAGTCGTTTAGGGTTTTAGGCATTGAACCGTGGTAATTGTTGAAGATGAATACTTTATTTGTCTTGGCGGCTATATTGTGTTTTTTTTTTAATAATTTTTTTGAATGATTTTTTTTATTTTTTAATTTATATTAAAAATAAATTTAAAAAAATATAATTTAAATATATATCTTTTTTTGAATGATTTTTTTTATTTTTTTATTTATATTAAAAATATAATTTAAATATATATTCAAATAAAAAATACTTTTAAAACTAACAAACTAAATATGGATACGTGAAATGGTTAAATTATTTTTTTAAGACAAAATAATTCTAATTTCCTGTGCATTCTATTTATTTTTGTGTTTCAAAATATTTAAAAAAAAAAATTAAATTTTTTTATTATTTTAAATTAATATTTTTTGATGTTTTTATATTATTTTGATGCGTTGATATCAAAAATAATTTTTAAAAAATAAAAAATAATATTTTAATATATTTCTAAATAAAAAAAATTTAAAAAATTAACCCCATCTAAATTTCTAAATTTGATTTAAAATGAACAGAGAATGTGTGAGAATATTTTTAGGTTTTGTAAATTTTCTCCTATGATATCTAAAGCCCTTTTCTTCATATTAATATAATTTAGATCGACTCCAGTGGGAGATGCACACGTCATTCACTGTTTTCCCGTCAATGAAAATATTTACTTTGGGCGAAAAGACCGGAACTGGTCACGCAAACATGCGACTGTCTTCTTCCCAACTTCGTAGGGAAAGCCACTTCTGAAGGGATTGTGACTGCCCATTTCCAGGCCAAATAATAAAAATTAAAAATTAAAGTGAAAAGTTTAAAAATCTTTTTCAAGTTGGCGTGTATTTCTAAAATATTTTTATTTTAAAATATATTAAAAAAATATTTTTTAAAAAAATTTAATTTATTGATATTAGCAAATAAAAAATACTTGAAAAAACATCAATTTAATATTTTTTCAATAAAAAAAAATTTTAAATAACTTTTAAAAACATGTAAACAAACACATAATTAATCTTGATGAATTAGTTTTACTAAAACGGTATTGTGAAATTCTTAATTCTAATTTTATTGGGTTTAAATTAAGTTTGATTGAATCATTAAAGATTAATAAAAGTAAAAAGTTTTCAATTGGGATGAGTTTTAAAGATTAATAAAATTAATAAATTTTGAATTGGGATGAGTTTTAAAGAACTAGCTAAAAGGTAAAAGAGGCATGTACTCTTTCTTAATTTCTTTAATTCAAACATTAAAATTACTATTTAGATAAATTTATTAAATTCTTTTTAATATATTAAAATGATGCTGATGGGGAGATAAAAATTAGTCTGGCTTACTATGCGAGTTAATTAAATGTAAAAGTATTTATTAAAAATATGCTCAAAAATTTTAATTTTATTTGATTTAGTAATAGAAGGAGGTGTTTTAGAATGTATTGATAATTTTTTTTTATAATATATTTTATTTTAAATTATATAAAATAGTATTTTTATTTAAAAAAATTAGTTTTAACATCATATATCAAAATAATTTTTAAAAAAAATAATTCAAAGAATCAAATTATGTTTTTTATAAAAAAACAAGTTAAATAGCAGCTCCAAACTAGTATGTTTAAAAGAATGGTTGCAATTACTTTTTAAAATATTTTTCATTTAGAAATGTATTAAAATAATATTTTTTATTT